CTGTTAACGTCCGTCTTTCCCTTTGGTTTTATTTTGATTGCCCCGACCGTGCTGTTTTCACCAGAAATTAATATTGGCTTTAATGAGAGGAAAATAAGTTTTTACATTGGTCTTAATGGTTACGCAGGACTAAATCATTTTGACGAAAGTCTTGGTAATAAGGGTTGCCCCAATAATATTTAGGGCATAGTAGTAGCTGATTTTATCGAGTAAGCACCAAACAAACTTAACACAAAGACTAACACGCATGTCATTTCCTACAACGGAACATCATCATCGCCAACATAAATAATCATCCTCATGCTCACCATCACAATTACCATAACCGTCACAATCGCCATTAACATCATCATCAGCAGCAGCATTATCATCATCATCATCATCATTACCGACTCAACAATTCCCCTTTCATATAACAATCTGCACCATTGCTTTCTTTTTACGTAACCAACAAAAACGGGCACCAAAATCAGGACACGGGTGGAAAAAAAAAGTCTTACTTGATCAAAAGTCGAATCGGGTTTCTTTCTCAAACGCTAGCGATATTGACAGCTCGGCGTTGGCGATCAGAAAGAAAGTTCGCTATGCTAACTTGCCCGCTGTGTTGTCCCCCACGACACCACACCCTGCGGTGCGTTCCGTCTGCTTGCGCACAATGGGAACATACCACACCCCGCCCACGTCACACATTCGCTCCGTCCTCACAATCACAGTACATGTACAGCACTATGACCTCTCCATCCCCGCATCGGAGAAGTGAGAGGCAAAGTAGGCCTAGATAATCTAGACTAGGCTGGCCTATCACACGATGCGTTCTCCTTGTCTGTGCATGCCACACTCTCCCCACTCATTCAATCCGGCGTCAAGGAGCTTAGAACTTGCTGTAAACTCCTTGTCCGGCCTTCATTGTTGGCACTTGTGGGCTCTCCCATTCTTTGTTTCGCAAGATAACCAACAAGCTTCTCAACTGGCGAGGTTTTACATGAATAAATGGCCTATGCGTTGTGCTCAGCAGCAGCTATATTCCGGTATAACTGATTCGAGTGTTTGTCTGATTGCGTTATATTAGTATTTTATTTACAAAGATAAAGAAGGGAAAAAACGGGGTTTCAGAAAAGTGTCTTTATAACAGACTTCTCGTTATTTCAGGACTCGTTTTAAGTGGATTCCACTGTAAATATAAAACGTGTGTACACAACGCGGCTGAGTCAAAGTTACACTATCTTTGCTTGAGTGGTACTCTCTTGTACAGTCTCGCAGTACTGTCCCCGTGGTTTTATGCACCCCGCATAATTTAGCAAAATTTGATAATTTTTTGCATAATTTCTGATTATTTTCCGTCATCATTCTTTGTTAAAATTAACAGAATCGCATAATTTCATATTTTTGGGTTGAGTTTGCATAATTTCATAATTTTTCTTGCATAATACTTCGGGGACAGGTAGTACATGTAGTACATGTAGTAGTAATAGTAGTAGTAGCAAAGATCGTGTAGAGAATCTTTGGTAGTAGATTCTATCTAGTAGGCAGTTTAGTGAACGTGCACGCGGCAGGGCGAATCGGCCTCGATAAGCCCCGTAGACTTTTGTAATCGGCCACAAAGCCTCGTGTTTTGATGGGTCTGAACAACTCAGTGTTAATCGCACTGCCACATCCGACAGGCCTACCTAGGTAGTACAAACCAAAAATTCAAACCTGTTGTAAATTGCAAATACAGTTTTATTTAGATACTGCTTTTCACATAAGGAACAATGCAAAAAACCAGATCAAATTATCTTCATAAATAAAAAAGTTACAAACGTTTAAAGATTTTCCGACTTAGAATTTTCAAGGACATTTTTAGAAAGTCCAAATTCTGCCAGCTTTGAACATGAATAACATAAGAGAAAATTATCTGAAACTCAAAATGTTTACATTTCTCTCAAGCTTAGGACAATGGTATTCTTAAAAAAAAACCCAAAGAAATTCTTATATAATTGTAAAAAAAAGAAATTTAGGCCTGATGTAAAAGTGAAAAATCAAGGCATTTCATACAAAAAATGTAACACATTGGCTGCGAGCCCTTTTCGTGAGTTTCACAGTATAAGAATGAGGCATCACACAGAGTTCCTACTTTATGGATCATCACCCCTGAACACATAGATTAAGCTCAATTTTTTTCAGACATGACAGAAGTACAGAATTAACAATAATCCATGTTAAAGTTGGCAAAAATGGAAAAAAAACACGCGTCGACAGAAAATTGCAGTTTTCGGACATTTTCTTAGTATTTAAAAGACCATAACTTTTGATCTAATGAAGCTATTATAACAAATCTTATGTATCAAAATCCTCAGCATTTCAAGACCTATGCAATGCAGTTAAAAACATTGCTATCAAGAAATGGCTACATGCTCTTTTGGTTAAGCAAAGCGGACATATGACAATATTCATGAAAAAATATGAGTATCAAACGACTCAGGAATAGATCTAGTTGTTTTGAACTTTTCTATTAAAGATCTATAGTCACCAATATTTGTATCTTTATATATACAAATATAATACAAAGCAATATATATTATGTCCTTATTTTAAAGACAAGAATAGGTGGTGTCACTGGCCTAGAGGTTAGGACTCGTAATCGTGAAATTGCGCATTTGTAGCTCTGGTTGATGACTGTCATCTTCTTCCTGGCGGCTTCAATCTTGTGTTGCAGTTGCCCCTCAGTCACAATCTGATCTGGAAATAACTCCAGGAACCAGGATAGAACCTGTGGAAGAGACCATATATTCAATTCTTTAGAGTTTGCTGTGATATTAATAAGTACCGGTACTTCATACAAAATTGGAAAAAGCTCCCGCAGTCTGAATCTATTTATTTTTCAACAAGTACAAGTTACAACAAGATCATATTATGAATAAAATGTTATAATCTATCAAAACTGGGCAGCAATCTCAGCTCTGAGGAATTCCAAAGGGTAATATTATTAAAG